TTTTTTTTTAATGGCTTTTTATGTCCCGAAGTGCTTCATAGTCTGCTTATACAAGTTACCTTTGAAGGAATCATACATCAGCTGCATGAGTGATGAAGCTGAGTCATTCATTAGTCTCTGGGCCCTGGTGCTAGGGCAGAGGCCAGAAACATTGGGGTAAAACTGGTTTAGGAAACAGCCCGTGTTTATAGGTAGTTTAGGGGGATTGCTTTTGTTTGTTTGGTGGTGGGTTGTTTTTTGGGTTTGGTTTTGGTTTTTTCCCCCTCATATACCCAGAGTAGATCTCTCTTGGGTGGACAGATATCTGCTAGCTGGATGACAGCCTGGTGAAACACAAAGATCAGAAGGCTGAGCCAGCCCTGCCTAGTGTTTCAAAGTGCTTTTGCTTAAGCCTCTTTGACATCAGGGCACTAATCTGTCTGTTATGGCTTCTGATGAAGACTGTGTGTATGGACACAAAATGCAAACAGATGCTGCTTCACAGCCTTGCTTTCACAAGGAATTTACTCTGGTAGAATGTGGACAGTTAGCATGAAACTCCAAGTTGAAGGTGTTGAGATACATAGCTCTGCGAGCTTGTCTGCAAACGTTACGCCTAATCACTGGTTCGTTTGTTCAGCTATGCTGAAGGTCTGTTGCTGTTGGCACTTTTGGTAACGTCCAGAACAATTTGGACTGGGGATTCGTTTACTGTTTGTTCTTTTTTTTTTTTTTCTTTCAGTAGATACAGATACTTTATCTGTTTCAGTATATTATAAAGCTCAGTGGACAGACTTCCATGTCACAAGCCAATTCTTCCTTCTTAAAACAGCAAGGCATGTAAAAGATAGGTTTAGCTCACTTTCTGTATTGTGGTTTTGTTTTTTTTTTAGTCAATATTAACTTTTTCCTTTATTAAATGCAACCTTTGAAAAGTTACTTGAAAGACTAGCAAACTGAAGAATAGAAATAAAACCGACAAGCATGCGAGAGATGCAAGCTGTGTTTAAGGTCTCTGCTAGACTACTGGGCTTGAATGTTGACAGCTGGTAATCAGAGAAGGTCCTTTGTCATGCCAGCGAGGTGGTAGTCAGATATAGAGATTTAAGTATGTTGAGGGGGTTCACTCCCAAGTTAAAATCATTCTCAGAGGGCTGTATTTCACTGATTTCTGGAGCGGTTCCTACAGATAGGTAAGTCTATTTCAAGCTTGTAAAGCATCTTGAAATCGTTTGGGATCAAAAGGGTTAAGTGTCAGAAAATGGAGAACACTGTATTTGTAGCAGAGTTGTTTGCTGTGTTATGTACACTCTCAGGTTTTACACAGGTAATCTTTTCCTCCTTTGCTATTGCTTGATTGCTGGTGGAAGCAGTGTTACTTGGTTCTGGTCTTACTGTGGAGAAACCAGTCTGCTTAAAAATCTCTTATTTTCAGTTATTGAAGATGTGGTATGAACTAGATGAGAAGAAACGAAGAAAGTATCTGAAGAAGACAAATAAGTGTCCTGACCCAAGCCTTGGTGTTTGGCGCCCAGATACCTATTTTGCATCTGTTTCGGAAACATTTGAAAATGGAGTCGAAGATTATATCAACAAATGGGAATCTGAGAACAGACAAAGTTATACACGCCCAGCACTTTCTTCTGATAGGTAACAACTTCTGTCTCTTTACTTACTTGCACTGAGCCGAAAACCAAAATACCTGGTCTTGGACTGAGTTTGCTAGAGAGGAAAAGTCTTTATCAGCTCTTGTTTTTGTTGTGACCTTTGTGAAACGAAGTAGTGGTTTCAGAATGGTTCCTGAAAGCCTAGTGTGCAGAGGAGAGGCCCTGCTTGCCTGTTTCTTCCAAACCTGATTTTTCTGTGCTGCGAAGGGCTTTGGCAAAGTCTTTGTGGAATAACAGCAGCGTATTGCTGTCCCCCTACATACAAAATAATACTTTACAGTAACACTTTAAAAATTAAATATGCTCTTGCTGTACCTTGGAGTTAGCAAGCCGGTGAAGATGAGCAAGTGGGAGTAAATGGACTGTCTTTTAACATTCTGGGAATTAGCAGCAGAACTAAAATATGCTTTGGCCAAGGCCCCAGTTCTGTGTTAATGGGCTGTGTTTGTCAGATCAGATTGGGACAGACAATTTTACAGTTTCTGGAGTGTATTTGTTCATAAGCTACCAGGAGAAATCAACTGAAAGAAGTAACTTTATTGAACTGAGCAGTGTTTTAGTCTCGTCAGAATTCTTTATTTTGTACTACATTGAGCTAAACCTCTTATTTCCTGCCTTCAGGTTAAAGGATTTGTTGTATTTAAAGTGGCAGCGATCTCTGTGTGACCCTGGAGAAGCTGTGGGTCTTCTTGCAGCTCAGAGTATTGGGGAACCTTCTACACAGATGACTCTGAACACCTTCCACTTTGCTGGCAGAGGTGAAATGAATGTCACATTGGGTATTCCAAGGTGAGAAAACTGTGTTCTCAGTGGGTCCTTTGCCATTTTTGGCACTTAGGTGAAGAGTGCTTAATCTCACTAGGATGTGTGTGTGTAATCTTGAGGGCAAATGATCCTTCAGTTTAATTGTAAATCATGCCTGTTCAGAACTATTTTAACGCTTCACGATTTCACGGTTGTTTTGGTTTATTTTCCAGATATAAAATATCTGTGAAGGCCCCTTACTCTTACCTCATATATAGCAAATACCTTATTTGTTTCTGTATTTCAGTCAGTACAAGCCTAAGAGAAATGATGCTATGTGGGTTTGCCCTCTGCTGACCTCTCCTCCCCGCTACCAACTTCTAAACCTATTTCTTTCACACAAAAAATTTCACTGCAACCGTGAAATCTGGCATGTTTAGTAACATTATCACCTATGTAGAGAGGCCTGTTTTATAGCAACCGGGTGTCCCCTGTCTCTTCTGTTTGGTGACAGTGACTTTATCCGTGCACATGTGTTTACCAGCCAGTCATCAGCTTGTTCTGAATAAGATGGGTGCTGACCTGGCCTTGTGTGATGTCACCCTGTGTGTGTGATGTCTTAGGTGATAGATGTTGTGTTACTTCAGATAAACGGGGAGGGGGAGAAAGTATGAGGAAGCAAGCAGTATGCACCTGTAGGAAACAGGCTTCATTAGTTCTTCTGTTCTTGGAACAACTTATTATCATGTCTGTTCTCTTCCCGTAATTGGGGTGATAATCTAATTGAGGCAGTAGAGCTGTTGTGCTGTGCCTGATGAGGATCCGGAAAAGTGCAAAGGAGCAGTGCAATGGTAACCACAGCTCTTGATTCATGTGGCTTTGGTAGAACTGGCAGAGGCTGCATGCTGCCTAATTAAATGAACTGGGTATTTATTTGACTGCACAGTACTTTTATTGCCCAATCTGAAAGATGATTCTTTGTTTAAAGGTTGCGGGAAATACTGATGGTGGCCAGCGCAAATATTAAAACACCGATGATGAGTGTTCCTGTGTTCAATACCAAGAAAGCTCTCAGGAAGGTGAAACAGCTTAAGAAACAGCTCACAAGAGTGTGCTTAGCTGAGGTGAGCTTCCTATTCAGTGTATCCTTTGAGAGTCAGCAAAACAAAATCTCCTGTTTGAGCTCGTTGGTTAGTCTGGCTTTGTAGCGGTTTCCATTTTTGAAGGCTTATCTGTGGGCGCAAGATGAGAGGGTCCTTTCTCTTCACCTCTTGCGTACTGAACCTGTAATATCTGCTAGGAAGATATTGACGTGAATTGCAATTACTGTGGCTGTATGAGACTTAAATTCAGTTTAACCTGTAGAGCCTTGTCACAGGCTACAAACTCTATAGACCATAAAGGAAGAGTAAAGAAAGCAGCAGTATAACAGCAGGGAGGATTTATGTTTGCTGCCATAGCCTTGTTTGGCTTTTTCTCAAGCTCATTTTTGTCAGTCTCTAGAATTGGAGGGTTTTTATTTTGTCTTTGGGACAGACTTCGGGCTGTGACTGGCACAGTAGAGGCCTTTCTGTTTGGCCTCCACCGCTTCCTAATCTCGTACAAGTGGCTGTGCTCAGTAGAAGCAAAACGTGGCTCCGTGGAAACTCGATCTACTGAAGTCTGATGTATTCTGTGCTCCCTGTCTTCCTAGGAGTGCAGTCTGTCTTGTGCTCTCCTGCCTGCCCCACCCTCTTGTGTCTTATTCTTTCAAGTTGAAAGCAGCAAGGACAGAGTTACGACTCAGCTCTATGTTGAAATACTGTCGTGCTTAATGAGCGTGGGTCAGTAAAATGAAGCTGTTGGCCCACTAACAAGTGTATAGTCTCTCGTGAAGGAGTGAGGTGGGAGGTGAGGCTGTTCTCCTAGTATTGTCTAAGTTAATAGCTGGGAGGAGTTTAAGCCAAAAAGAGGGCAGTAGGGTAGAGTCCTTTTGCCCAGGAGCTGCCATAAAGCCTCCAGAAATGTTTGCCATTTAGCCTTGTGTAATTCTGGTCTCCTGTGGAAAGCATTGGAGTTGCAGGAAGTAAAGTGTCTTCATCAAAGAAGTAACGTTCCTACATGGGGCTTTTGTAGGTCTTGCAGAAAGTTGAGATAGAGGAATCCCTACATGTGAGGTGCAAGCAGAACAAACACCGCCTCTACAAAATCAAATTCCATTTCTTGCCCCATGAATACTACCGAGAGGAAAAGTGTGTGAAGCCCAGGGAGATCTTGCACTTCATGGAAACAAGGTCAGTTTGCTTTCACACACTTCAATATTTGCTCTTCTTTTGTCTTTCCATGGG